GAGGATGACTGAGCAGCCAATGCACACGACCTGTATACCCAGCGGGAGCGCAACTGCATCTATTGCTAGAGAACCAGATACCGGAGAACTGCCAGCGCACACCAGGCTGCGGGGGCCATGGTTTGCTGATCATGACAGAATACGCTCACGAACTGCGGGGCCCAGAAGGGTGACAAACAGCCCTGCAATTGCATGGGCCATCACTCTTCAAAGACCGGGTAAGCAGCTAGTCATTGACTGAGAGGCACTACCCATAGAGAGCACACACTCCTCACATGCGTGAGAGTGCCACAGGTCACCTAAAGAAGTAGCCGTGACGGCCTCGCTCCCAGCCCATCAGTCCGCCACGCCACACGAACACAGACAACTGTACAGACGGCGTGGACTGAGTTGAGGCGTCAGTTGGCAGCCTTCCAAGCCACGGTGCGGCAGCACCGTGATAACCTCAGGCCCGGATCACACATGCAGCAGAGGATTCACATGAAGAAGGAGCCCAGAGGCACACTTCCCACTTAAGCGAGAGGTAGCAGTTGACTGTCTTGCGTTGCGTGGCGATGGGTGAAGCTGTGCGGTACAGCTGGTAGGCACGCTAAGCGACGGGGTGCGTATTGCGCTAGGCATGGTGGGTGTAGAAGGTACGCGAGGTGTGTCGATAGTGCGGTGAATTCCACTGTCGTGGATAAGCATGTGGCCAAGCAGGCCCATGTGGTGAGTGAATGTGTAGGGACAGTGTGGACAGTTGAGACAGGTGCGGTGAGTGTAGATTGGTGCTGCAGGCACTGGCTTGCCAGTCTCTTTGCAATCGGTTCGCAAGTGACTGACCAAGCCGATGTTTGAGGAGAATGTTCGATCGCAATGGAGACAGGTACGAGCCGAGTCTACATCGCTGGAGGTGAGAGTATAGGTGATAGGACATCAGACGTCGTCCCGTCAGTGGGGGGAGTACTTGGTGATGTGGTGGTGATGCTGACCGCTGCGGTCCATACAGCGCTTGTGGCAGGGCGAATGGTGGCGGCGGCGGCGCATCGACAGTGTGATTGGCGGTGACGGGGGTTGCGGTCAGCGCGAGGTTTGCAGCAGGGACGAGAGTGAGAGAATAAGTAGACTTCGGGTTGATGTCGCGTTGGCTCCAAATGGTCCAACGAGACCGCTTAATGCGCGTTGGCAGAGCGGGCATGTTGGAAACAATGGATGATTGAAACTGAGAAGGTGAGGCACTTGTGACTTGCGAGCCTCTCGTTGGACTTTGACGGTGACGATCCGATTTGGTTTTTAGTTGGCTGTGCCGGTCTCTTTTGAGCAAGGTCCTCCCAGGTCTCTTGGGTTGATTTGCATCCGGTTACGAGAATTCTTCAATGTGTCCTTGTAGCGTCGTTTTGGTCCTCCTGGTCGGCGAGCATCCATTGCGACATCACCGTAGAAAACTTGGTAGGCAAGCGTCGTCCATTCTAACCAGAAGGTCGCTCTATCGCAGTTGCAGTTGTCTCAGCGCGGCGTGGATGCTGAGGACTGCGATCCGTTCCAGGACTTCCGTATCCGGGATCCTGCCTTGTCATCTCACCTTTAGTATTCTGCGAAGGCATCTGAGATTAAAGGGGTTTAGTTTCTTGGCGTGGTTTGAGTAGACGATGCAGGTCTTCTCTCTGTACGAGAGTGTCGTCAAGACGACGGCCTTGCATATACTTAGTTTGGTATTCAGTTGGAGGCCGTGGCGATTCCACACTGAGTTCTACAGCTAACTGAAGGTTTGGCTAGCTTTGGAGATCTAGTAGTTAACCCCATCGTCGGTTCTGGTGCTGTTGGAAAGTGTGCCTCCAAGATAAGCAAAATTGTCCACGGTTTCGAGTTAGTTACCGTCGGAAGTGATTCGAGGAAGAGTCCAGTGTTGCATGTTGGGTGGCGGTTGGTGCATGGCCACCGTTTTGTCCGTGTTGATAGTCAGGCCGAAGCTGGCACACTCGGCAGAGAGAAGGTACATGCTCCGTTGAATGTCCACTTCGGTCATGGTGTTGAGTGCACAGTCATCGGTGAAGAGCAGATCGTGGACTGTGGTCGTAGATAGTCGCTCTCGAGCCTGCATGTGCCTGCTGTTGAGAAGATGTCCATCAGTTCTGTAGGCGCTGCGTATCCCGGGACGGTCATCACTGCAGGTTTCCATTAACATGGCAGATAACGTGAGACTGAAGAGAGTAACCGCAAAGACGCAACCCTGCCTCACTCCCTTGGTCACTGCGAATGCTTCGGAAATTGCGCCGTTATCCGTGACGCGCGCCATCATCCCATCGTGGGGCTAACCTAACATGTGCGGTAATCGTTCATGATAGCCGAATTTCTGCATGATTTGCTACAGTCCCTCAAGATTCTCCGTTTCGAAGGCCTTCGTCAAGTCCACGAAAGTGGTATATAGGTGGAACCACATCCTGGCACTCTTCGTGTAACTGGCGAGCAACAAAGACAGTGTCGGTGACGCCCCGGTGTCGTCAAAAGCCATGTTGGTTTTCTGGAAGAAGTCCTTGTTCGGGGTGGCCGTTGAGACGATTGAGGAGAAGAGGAACAAAGATCTTCCTGGCAGTGTTGAGTAACGAGATGCCTCTGTGTTTATCCCACAGTTGTCGGTTCCCTTTGCGCTTGTAAAGATGGGCAATGGTCGCGTTTTTGAAGTCCCGAGGAACCTACAGCTGTCGCTACATTTCTTAGAATAGGACCGCCAGCTGGTCCATCAGTTGGTGGCCGCCGTGCTTGTAGATTTCAGCTGGGATTACACTGGAGCCTGACGCTTCCATGCTGAAGAGTTGTTGCATGGCACGAATGATCTCTATGAGGGAGTATGGCAGATGCAGGTTGATGTTGATTTCCACTTAGGGGAGCCGGTGGATGGAGGCGTCGGAGATTGTAGAGGAGCGGTTGAGGACGCTTCTGAAGTGCTCGGCCCAGTGCTTCGTAATCTACGACTTTTCCGTCAAAAGCGTTGATCTGTCGAAGCTGAGAAGTAGTGTAGTTCCTTTGGTGGGGGCGCCGTAGATCGCTATGATTTTAGTGGAGGAATTCTTTGATTCGTTGCGGTCGACTTATCCCTAGATCTCCGCGCCTTACGAGTCATCCAGATGTCCTGCACATTTCTCAACCGTTGTTGCGCTAGGCGACGACACTAGTAGAAGGTCGCTTTGTTTGCACTGGTTGGTCCGTCAAGGTGGGCTCTATGCAGACTGTTCTACCCGGCCAGCAGATTACTGATGGCGGTGTCATTTTCGTCAAAGCAATCCTGTTGCTGACGACGTGCGCGGTCGAGGACAACCAGGGCGGTCGAGTGAACGGCATGTCATAGTCGGCACATCGAGTCTCCGCGGAGGCGTTTTCATCTGTGGCTGGCAGTTCTTCCAGCCACTGGGTCCATTGATTGCTAAAATAAAACCGGCGATCAGGCAAAGACAACAAAGCACTATTCAGCTGGAGTCGCTTCCGTGGGGACCTCCTGAGGGGTTGCAGACAAAGCTTCACCTCGGAGATTACGAGGCGGTGGCCCGTCCAGCATCCGCGTCGCAGATCGCATTGGTCACCCTTACGTCCTGTCGATCTCGCCGCCTAACCAGAATATAGTCCAGCAACTGTCAGCGTCGCAAGCAGCGGTGCATCCAGGTGGCCTTCTTCGGCATCGACAGGCGGAAGAATGTGTTGGTCTGTAGGAGGCGGTGTTCAGCGCAGGTCCGCGGGAGAAGGAAGCTATTGTCGTTGTTGCTGGCGACACGGTGAGGACCCAGCACTCCCCTTCAAGCAGCGGAATCTTTGCAGACGCTGGCGTTTAAGTCACCTATCTCGATCAACTTATAAAAGCCGTCCACGTTATACATATATACATATGTATACAGCAGGTGACCTAACTCATGAAATATCGAGATCGGTATTGGATTTGGTTGGATGGCATATATAAGTCAGGTCACTCTCTGGAGAATCATTAATAATAAAACTGTGTCTAGAGCTAAGCAGGGTGGACCAAAACGATCTCCAAGCAAACAAGACGACGATTTCATTTATCGGACTTTGAAAAAGTATCGTTATATGCTCCTTAAGGCCATTTACAGTGAACACCTGTGGATGTTTTCTTTGCGCATAATTAGAGAAATGAAAGACTTCGGCCTCCATCAACCAAACGTCACGGCAAAGCCATTCTTAGAAAGGGAGCTCGAAAGAGAAGTTTTTAGTTGCTAAAAGATACACTGATCACGGACTTTCACCCTGGAAAATCATTTACTCTTGTGATGGGATCTTATTTTTAGACAGGCCTCTGAAGTCGGCCTAGGTGGTCATAAATTGGAAGCACTTCCCACGAGAGCACACTCTATCGACACCAACTTCCACGAACCGTTGACGTCTGATGGTGTGAATGACCATTAAATTCGGAGGGCGCCTGGTCTGACTTTCAACAACGGAGACGATAAACAGCTTGGTGTTCATCCACGTCGTAAAGGATGCTTTCGGTTACAACGGCATTCCTCGACGTCAAATGGACTCTGTAAGTTTGCAGGATAATGACCCTGCTCACTGCCCAAAGGAGGTATAATTACATCCTGGCTTAGGCCTATAATCTAATATTTTACACCACAGCCAGCCTCTCCACCTGCGGTCTTCGAAGCACTTTTCTTCCCGCTAGCAGTCCGGGTCTGATTGCTATCGAAAATCTTTCTGTGTTAATCAAAAGAAATCGGGACAGGACAAGAAAACTTTTGTTAATACGGAAAAAGGTAGATTTGGTGCTTAATAACTGTACAGACCAAACCCCGTAGACAACTTTGTAGTCTCCATGCTCTCCCGACTAACAGCAAATTTTGAAGCATAAGGACAGTCGATAAAGTACTAATACTTTGTTTTTGTTACTGTTTTTATGATTTTGTCGTTGTAACACATCTTCCTTCTCTGCTCATAGTTCTATTAGGCCTTGAATAATTGACCTGTCATAAAGTCGTTTTTGATCTTGTTGTTCTTTGTGAAATAAATTATCTCCTAGTCAATAAATAATACTGTACTGCAAGCCTAATCCGCAAGTGTTGTGAAGCCACCAAATCAGTACTAACAATCTCATGCTAAGTCGCATTCTCTGTCGTTTCCCGAAAATTCCTTAAGAGTGCGTTCACCACGCTTCAATTGCACCTGAAATTATTGAAACCACGTCTCTGTTATGCGAATGAACTTGTTCCCCCCATCCTTACCCTGTGTCCAGAGGAACGACTATGGAGACAAACTTCCTATCTAACAGCAGAATAGACGGTGTACGAATCTTATAAAAGCATATAAGGTATTAAATGTCGATTATGACCCCGTTTTCAAACGACGGTCATACGGCCAGTCAGATTGACTACATACTAGTCAGCTCAAGGTTCCGCAGCTAGGTTCATGATAGCAGATCGATGCGTGGTGCCGAGACTGGTAACGCCCATGGGTCGGACCATGTCCTCGTCCGTACACGCTTGAAAGCTCATCTCACATCCGCGCCAAAAATGCCACGTCCTATACGCCTTGATGTCGCAAAAATCCGGCAAGCCAGCACTGCCGAGGCCCTAAGCAGAGAAATCCGGACCTGTTTTACGACCCGATCCGACGGAGAAGTCAGTAACCATTGGTCGTCACTGAAGACTTCAGTCTATGGGGCAGCTGAGAAAATCCTCGGATTTTCCTAGCGACGCCGCAGTGACTGGATCAGTGGAAGAACCCTGTAGTTGTCTGTTCAGACGGCTAGAGCCAGGTCCCGCAACGATGACTATTTCCGCCAACTTCGGAAGATAACAGCTAAATCGACCAGGGATAACCGGAAGCAATATTGGGCTGAAATAGCGACCTCCATGGAACAGGCCTCGAACGTTGGTAACACTCGAAAGCTCTACCGTCTGATCCGCCAAGCTAGCGGTAAGCCCTCTACACCGAGTGACTCTGTTCGCGATGTGAACGGCGGCTTTATTGCTGACAACTCGGCCAAAGTCGAGCGCTGTCGTGAGCACTTTGAGCACCATCTCAACTTCGATACCCAACTTACCTCGCCCTTACTCTCCTCCTCAGCGGAGTTTCTTCCCTCTCCTACCTATGCAGTGCCATGCGATCCCCCCTCCGAGGAAGAAGTCGCCGATGCCATACGAAAGTTGCACAACAATAAGGCACCCGGAGAGGACGGTATACCCGCCGAAATCTTCAAGTCTTCTGTCCACACTCTGGCGCCCTGGCTCCATGAGGTGATTGAACAGGCATGGAGAGACGAGGTTTTTCCTGATGACTGGGGCTAAGGCATCCTTGTACCTATTCTCAAGAAGGTAGATAAGACGAGATGCGAGAACTACCGCGGCATAAGTCTCATCGACGTTGCTGCGAAGGTCTTCGCTATTGTCCTACTCTGGCGATTCCTGGCTGTGCCTGACTCAAGGACGAGGCCCAACCAAGCCGGATTTCGTGCTGGACGTGGATGCGCAGACCAGATATTCACACTGAGGCGCATTCTCAAATTTCGCCATGGCTACCAACAACCGACGGCCGTCTGCTTCGTTGACTTTGCCGCCGCGTTCGATTCCGTTCACCGTTAGTCCCTGTGGCGAATAATGGCGCTAGATGGTGTACCGGCGAAAATCACCGCCATGATCAAGGCCTTCTATCACTCCATTATTGCGAGAGTCCTGGTCCGCAATAATCTTTCCCAACCGTTCGGTATTCGGTCTGGCGTCCGACAGGGTTGTATCCTGTCACCCATACTGTTCAACTACGCTATTGACTGGATCCTCGGGAGGGCCCTACGCGAGAGTGACGGCGTTGGGTTTGCACCCGGATATCGACTGACTGATCTCGACTATGCCGATGATATCGCCTTACTTGTCAGTCAGTTTAAGTCAGTTTATTAAGGGAATGAGGCTTTCGCCCTTGAGCTCCCTATTCATATCGATAAACAGAAATACAGTCACCAATTACATCAGCAAATGCGAAAAGTTAAGAAGTAAGCGGTATGTGTGAGCTAGGCGCAAACTGCCGCCGCTAAAACAATCATTATTATATGTACAGTATGTTCTCAACAAATGAGCGTCTAGTCTGCATTTAAAGGATTTGACAATTTCGGAAAGAACGACGGCATCAGGGAGTCCATTCCATGCCCCGATGACCCTGTGAGAGAAGGCGTTCCGTCGGACGTCCGAATGAGCCCGCTTC